GTTTCCTTTCTTTGGTTTCCTGATACAGCCTTGCCAGTGTGACCTTGAAAGGTGTGACTTTCTCGACTGTTCATGACTTTTTCTCAAGAGTTTTTCCCTCGATGCTCGGGGGTTCTCGTCGAGCTCTTGAGCTGTTCGGGCGTTCTTGGTCAGTTTTCCACCATAACTAGGGTCACCCTCTGCAGTCTGATCATCTCATTTTCTTCGAGCCTGATGTAATTCTGCACTCTTGCGTTCAATTCTAACATGTTTGTCGGAGTTTTCTTCATAAGAGAAGAATGAAAATGTATGCCCTGTAAAATGGCTATTTTGAATGCTTCAATAGTTGTTGCTTGATTGGAATCCATAATTTATGAGGATTCCATGTTGAATCGGGTGAGGAAAGCTTGGAGATCCTTTGATGTGCTCATCCATTTCTTTTCGGAACTTGGCAATCACGTCACTTTTTGGTAATTTCTAGTTCCCGCCTGGGACACAGGAACTTTTTCTTCCTGACTCGGCATGATCTTCAGAGTCGGGTTCTTTCGTGGTTCGTGGCCCCCCCAACGAGTAATCTACAATGACATGAGATTGGCTCGTTGTATCTTCACCCTCATTCCTATCTACAGTGTTATATTAGACATTATGTTGTTGTCGAGGGGCCTACTATTGTGGCAGAGGGTTGTTGAGTCCAGGTGCCATCGATGGATCCATTAGGTTGCTCTGACGCTCTAGTTGAGGGGTGACTAGTGGATTCATTGGGTCATTCTGACACTCTGGTTGAGGGGCGATCGGTGGATCCATTGGGTCGTTCTAACGTTCTAGTTAAGGGGCAATCGATGAATCCATTGGGTCATTCTGACGCTTTAGTTGAGGGGCGATTGGTGGATCCATTGGGTCGTTCTAACGCTCTGGTGGAAGGGCGATCGATGGATCCATTAGGTCATTTGGACGCTCTAGTAGAGGGGCGATCGGTGGATCCATTAGGTCGTTCGGACACTCTGGTTGAGGGGTGATCGGCGGATTAGTTTGTTCAACAGTAATTTGGAATCCTTCGTTCTCCTGACGCAGAGCATTGATTTGCGCTATATTGGCTCCGTTGGCCTGCTTCAGTGCAATGATCTCTCCAGTGCTAGCTTCATTGGCTTGCCCAAAAGCATCAAATTGTATTTGCATCTCTTCGCGCATTTTCTACATAACTTCTTGTGGTTAAACTTGCACGGCATCTGATCCTATTGCTGTTCCAGATCAATGTCACATGAAAATGAAAATGGAAAGGCTTTTTACAAACGCTTCCCACAGACGGAGCCAAAGTGTAGGTGCAAATTTTTACACCCGAACACTTAAGGAAAATAATAAGCTAAAAATTAGGAACCTAGAATAAATGTAAATGAATCAGACAACAGAAGAAGTATTTTCAGTGGAATTCGATCCCCTTCTTCTTCTCATTCATCTTCTATTTATATGCCTTTACAAAGCTCTTTATGGAGTAGTTACTGACGGTTTTCAATAGTGGGCATTCATGGTGTCCTTATTGCATGCCATTTACTTCATTGTAGGTGTTATACAGTTTTGAATGTAAATGGGAGTTACAAAGTTTGAATACAAATGGGTTGGACAACCTCTTTGGCCTGTTGTTTTTATTAAATGGGTTGTATTTAGCCAAGTGGGCCGTTTTGGCCTCCCTAAGGCCCTTCTTGATCGGGCTCCTAAGCCGTGTGGGCTGATTGGGCTTGCTTTTTTATAATTGTTCTGCGGACACGTGGCATGTTATAATTAGTGGGGAAATTCTCCTCCACAGTGTCTATTCTGTTTTTCCATCTAATCGGTTAGATAAATCATCTTATCTAACTGGTTAGATAGTTTTATGTTGCTTTCTTTTGACATTTTTCTTCCGTTAGCTATATCTTCTTCGTCCGGACTCCGAATCAAGTGATTATTGAGTCTAAATTTATTAATTTTTCGTTTTCTATCCAATGGTATGCACGTTAACATCTATTTCAATTTTAAATGTTCATTTTACCCCTAGTGGTTCATTTTGTCCGTTTTAAACCCTAGCTTCCGCTTTTGATTCTTTTGAGTCTCGTGACTCCGTGGGAAGTCACATTGGCGTCTTAGAAATGATAGCCATCTCTAGAGACCCCTTTTCTTTCTTGCTTCCGCATTTGGAATTCGTTATCGGGTCAATTTTGGGTTACTCACTGACGCACCGGGTTTTACAAAAGTTGGGTTGTCACAAGCACATATTAATTCAACTAGAAGATAATATAAAATTAAAGCTAAGTGTTGGCTATCTTAGATTAGCATAAACCATCTACCTAACTACTCTACTCTAGGGTGTAGTATGGTCTATCTTTTCTAAGCATAATCCATCAAAACCCTAATATTATATTCAATGAAAACCATTGCATAACCATCTCATTTACAACTATAAGAAGTAAATGAGTTTTGTTCAATCACAAGCATTAAATACCTAAGACAAGATAAAAAATACTTTGTAATTGGATTAAAACTTTGAAAATGATTTCGATTGAAAAGTCAAATAAAATCCTCTAGGTTATACAATCATGCATGAAAAATACCGTTCTCTAATAAATAAATACAATCAAACCAGTAACGCTAAACTAGGGCTATATTACAGCCCTAGCAAAGCTTTTAGCCGCTCATGACTGGAATGGACTTCTTCATGGTTGGGAAGAACATCTTCACCGCTATAGGTCGATCCCTTCTTTCTTCTTTATTCTTCTCCTCTAATTTCAGCCTCTAGCTACCGTGTATCCTCCATCTCATGGTGTAGAGAACTCTCTTTAGATAAGATAAGAAAAGCCCCCAAAGTTCCCTTTTCCAAATAGGAGATATATGGAAATTCTGCCAAACTTGGACTCCAAAATTCGTGCTATCTTCTAGCCAAGTTTTGACAAGATAAACATCCGTTTCATAAAATTTTCGTGAAATACAAAATTATAGGGCATCGAATTTCCTTTTATCTTAAGTAAAGTTTGAGCTATTTTGACACTTGAGGAAATAAATATAGACAGAATACTAAAACTGGTTCAAGTTCCCAATTTTGGAGAAAGTTTCTTAGTTGGATAAGAATTCTTCCTTTTCTTGTTGTTTCCATTCTCATCAGCTTGTGGCATTCTCTTGGACTCTTTTCTAGGTCTAATTGGACTTGGATTTTCATCATTGCTCGGGCCAATGGATGTGATCTTCCCCTAACTTCTTGGATATCATCCTTTAAAGCCCAAATCATTGGTTTTGACTGATATTATAACTAAGGCCCTAAAATAAGAAAAACACTAAAACAACATAAATCACATATAAAACTATTACTAAGAGAATGAAACACATAAGTTAAGGGTTAAAATATATAACATTCAGCACCTAACAAATACGAGTTTTTTGAAGTAGAGGGGCTAATACGGGACAAAAATTCAATTTGACCAACAAGTCCGTTTTTGACAAACCAATAGTGTTATTTGGATGAAAACGATACATTGAGAAACACCCACTAGATTGATTTAGCTTGAAATTGTGGGCCATGTTGGTTTTCGGCTGAAAACCTTCGTTTAGGGCTCCGAAATCAAGTTTTCTTATTTGTTAGGAGGCTTGTTGATTATTTTCAAATTATTTCTTATCTGTTAGGAGGCTTGTTGATTACTTTTGAATTTTGAAATTGAGTTTTCTTATCTGTTAGGAGGCTTGTTGATTATTTTCAAATTTTTGTTCGAGGCCCAAACGAAGTCTGATTGCTCTCAAATTTTAGATTTAGTATTTTTTATTTATTAGATTTCTTGTTATATATTTAGTAATTTTTAGAAAAACTTTATTTTTAGACATATCTTTAGTTTCCCTTTGCTATTAAGTTTCTTTTATGTTTTTAGTTTGTCCTTTATCATAAATACGTGTAGTGCCAAGTATAGAATTAGCTTTTATTCATTGTGATTCAAGACAGATTCAAAGTAACCCATTCGGATTAATCACTACAGTTTGATTCGACAAGAACTTTAAATCTTTTTCCCCTGTTTGAAAATATTTTTTTCTTCCTCTCTCTTTATTAAATTCTGTATATTTCAAGTTAAAGGGAAAGCCACCAAATCAAAGGTTGACCGGTGGATAATGTTCTCTCTAATATAATTTAGAAATAATGTTGACAATTTGGTGGGTAAAGGCTTTTGTACATGTCATCTTTTGATATATTCAGTTTACACCTTTGAAGCATGGACACTCTTTTCAGGAGTCCCGTACCAGTGTCGGACACTTTTCGGACACCGACACCCGTGTCCGAGGCTCGGACACGTGTCCGACACTTCTGTAAAATGCCTAAATATTATTTTTTATTGGACACGCGTGTCCGAGGCTCGGACACACCATCCGACACTTCTGTGAGACAAAATTTATTTTTTCTCACTCTTCTCTCAGTCTCTCATTTTCTTCAATTATCTCTCTATACAAACAAGATATATATATATATATATTTAAGTTACATGAACAAGATTTTGTGAAAGACTGAAAGTATATATGTTTATTTATATATATATTTAGTTCTCTTCTGCACATCTTCTTTTGGAATTTGGATCAACTTTATTTTTCATTTATTTTCTGTTTTGTCTTGTCTATATTTTTCTTATAACAGAGATGAAATTATTGAAATTGATTCTGTTCTTTGTTGTTGTTTTATTTATCAATATATATATATATATATATATATAATTTTATATGCGTATTCCCGCCGTGTCCGTGTCTTATTTTTTAAAAATTTGCCATATCACCGTATCTGTATCGTGTCGTACCCGTATTTCGTATTCGTGTCCGTGCTTCATAGATTTACACCTTAGTTAGAAGAGGCAATCACCTAGCGTGATAAAATCATTTATCTTTACTAATTCCCCTTCTACAGAATTATTGGCTTGTGAATGATCCTGTTTACATCTTTACAATGACGATGACATGAAAGTTATATCTGAAAGCACCGAAATAATTGAAATTGGAAGAAAGTTAATTTGTTCAAACTCCGTTGAAGAATTTTTTTGATGTTAACCACTAAGTACAAGAACTTCAAGTCTGAAAGACAGGACTGAAGACAAAACAAAGAGAGAAACGCAATGCCACACTGTGGCCAGGTGGAGATGGACTTTATTGCTCATTTTTTGTTTTTCATGTCTATGACCTTCAACCAAGATGGCCTTGCCGAGATATCCGAGCACCACGCGCTCACATGGGGGCGCGAACCCACTGTAACTGTGTGCAATGTATTGGGTAGTTGCCCTTGATTCTGCATAACCAAAATGTTAACACCTCATTAACACACATAAACAATCCCTTTCTACCTTATTAAAATTCATATTCACACACACACACACACACACACGAGTAATGCTATTACGAGGTTAAGCCATGATAGTTTGACTTCGTAATAAAATTATTCTGCACTCCTAATTAAAATTATAATAAGGGGTGCAAAAAATAGCAAGGGAATAATTAATACCGAAAAGCTTGAGATCTCCATCTTCAAATGCGGGTACTTGACCAAATGGCTGCAAAATGAATAAGCATGAAGTTTCAATTAAAAAGTGAAATACTTTATTTTGTTACTTTGCATAAAATTAGAATCTTGAAATTTGACCTAATTCCGTGCTGCAAAGAGAATTGATTTGGAGTTTAAACGTGAACTAGTGAACCCCACACTAACACAATTTCATGGGGCCCACCAGCTTGTGTTAGGATCCTCTTTGTATTTGGATTTCTTGCTCTTAATTCAAAAAAAATTGTATATATTTATAGTTTGAGATCATGTTGCATTCTCATGCTTACATTGAGGGAGAGAAATGGTTCCGTTTTGTGCTCGCCGGCTCTCAAGTCGACGGGGACAAGCTCGTACGGGAGCTCTTTCTCATGGAGGGTGGCGAAGACTCGCATCGCCGCTGTCGAGAACACGCTTCCATGGACTTTGATAGATGCCATAGCTGCAAGAATGGTGTGTTAGAGTACTTGAGAACAATAGGAAGAGATTGAGAGAAATATGTGTAATTGTGATGATAATTTATAAGGTGAGATGGGGCTTCATTCTCTTATGCTAGAATGATCTGAGAGAGAAAGATGTGTGTAATATGTAAATAATGGGGGGTCGCATGTGCCTCGAAACACTCCTTAGGTCAAAAAAGGAAGAATCTTTGAATGGTGAGTTTATATTAATTCACTTTGAGATATGTAGCTCATTGCACACCTCATTTCACGTGTATTAGTTATTTCACACCCTCTACGTTTGAATTAAATCCGCGACTATATTAGCAGATATGCAATTTCTTAACCAATATTTCAATTTGTTCATTTTGTAACATTGACAAAATCTCTTTTCTCTTTCCCTTTTTATTTTTAGTAATAGTTACGTCGATTCTCTTACAACATTTCATAATTAATGTTAAATATGTACAGTCTCTATCTCATTTGCATCAAAAATTACCACAAATTTTTTTTTTACGAGATGACTACATGGAGATTCAAACTTCCCACTTCCATAAATGACGAACCACTTATGGAATGGTATCGCGATTAGGATATTCCCTTGCAATCAATTCTTATCACTAAATATTTGGAGTTAAGATTTTTTTTTTATTGACTTGTCATATTTAATTTGACCCAATTCACTGTTCTTCCTACCTACTCTTTTTGTCTTGTTAGATGTGCATGATTAAAAATTTGAGTTTGTAAGGAGACATGCAATTAATGCATTATTTTTTTTTAAAATTAACAACTTGTCATTTTTAATTTAAGTATATATAACTTACTAATTTTGAAATTTTTAAAAAAATATAAAAAACAATGATAATGAAAAGATAAGTCTTATTTATTTTGACTTTTCAAAATAAAATTAATTTGAAACATTTAAAAATAACATAATAGATTACTAATATAGACACCAATAATACCATTTATACCCAAAAGGCAAAACAATGAAGAGGGGGATGGGTGAAGAGCATATTTTAGGCACTTTATCCAAAACTAATAATGGAACTTCCACCCACCATTATTTTAATATGTTTTGCATTATTAATGCCTGACCGACAACCACGTTCCACTTTTCTTTTTCTTTTTCTTTTTCTTTCCCCTACCCTTTTGGACCGTTTGTGTAAGGAATATTCTAAGTACAACTTTTTAAAAACAATTAATTTTGTAATATCCATTTCATTGGTGTGATTTTTAAAAAAAAAAAATTTGAAAATAAATATTATTATTTTTTTTAATTTGGATAATATGAAACTAAAAAGAAAATGATTGTACTTATAAAAAAACACTCTTATAATTTTAAATATTAAAAAAAAATGAATTTATGTTAGATGAATTATCTTTATACTCAATTGTTTATATCCATTTTTTAATTATTTATACTTTAAAATAAGGCTTCATTATATTTTATTGGGTGGAAATAATTTCCTATTCAATTTTACAGTTGTTATTATCTTTCTTGATCCATGGTGTAATGGGAATTTCTTCTCAAATTTTTACAGTCATAGGATGTTACATTGACTCAGTAGGGATAACCAAAAAACATTGGAGATTTTATTGATGAAGGGCAATGGAATGTGGATATGATTCCAGTGGATTTGTACCAGTTTTTCTTCCAGTATAATATTCAAGGGGGTGAGGATAAATTTTATTGGCACGACACTCATTTTACTTTCAAATCTGCTTGGAACGCCTGTAGGATTAAAAGTCAAGAGGTTTTCTGATTTAATCTTTGTTGGAATGGTGGAAGGCCAGGTGGTCCACCCATGCTGTTTTGGTTCTGCAAAATGCAGTCATTACCAATACATACTTGCAGCAGAAAAGTTTTTCATTGGCTTCTAAATGTGTGCTGTGTTGTAAGAGTATTGAGAGTGGTGACCACCTCTTTTGCTGCTGTGAATTTTCCTGAAAAGTATGGATGAGCTTGGCTGATATTTGTCATTGGATTTTACAACCTTTTCAGTCAATCCAAGAGTTGGCTTTGGACTGTACTCTGAAATTTAAAGTGAAATCTACAAGGACAAAGTTTTATAGGATGATTTTCACTGCAACTTTATACTACCTATGGAAGGAGAGGAATGCCAGATTGTATAATAAATTATATACTTCTCCAAATGATTTAGCCAAGTGTATTTTGTGGGAAACTATGGACATCTTGGGGGTATGTCTCCAAGATGTTATTTCTGTTTTTCACTAGGACGTGGTTAGTTAAGAGCTTGCCTATTTTGGCTACTGTTTTTTCTTGTTTGGTGTGGGGTATGCCCCATGGATCCTTTGTAATATAATGTTTATATTTATAAAAAATTTCCTCCATTTAGGGGAAAAAAAAGTTCTATGTGTTACATTTTTAAACCATTTTTGTATAAAGTAGTACAACAATAGGATATGCGTATGCAATAGTCAACATTTTTTTGATTTTATTTTTATTTATTGTTATTTTTTATAGACTAATCCCTTTATAATTTAAGAAATTAAATACCAGGTGTTCGGCTCGCGAAAAGAGGCGCTAGTTCCGCTCTCTGCAATGCGTGGAATGTGGATAGAATAGTGTGGGTGTGCGGGTGTGCCAGGAACTGTAATAGTTCTAAAGTTGAAATCTGAACAGTAATCTAGTTGGAAATTTGCAAGGATCAGGCGATTGTACGAAGGTTTGGAATGACCACCTTCAAAGGGTCTTTTTTGCCTTTGAACAAGGACTTCAAACTACTCTATGGCTAATGGAAATGAAGACGATATTGAAAGTGCAATGCTAGAAATTAAAGTAATTTAAAGTGCATGACTGAAAATTTAGAGAATTGAAGTGCATGAATGGAAATTTAGAGAATTGAAGTGCATGACCGGAAATTTAGAGACACGGAAATGCAGTGCTCGGCTAGAAGAAACGGAAAGAGTGTTGGACTTAACTCAAGCATTATGAGAATTTATTGCTGAAATGAATGCTATATAGAATAGCAAAGTACTGGACTCAACATAAAAAATATGTAAATTCATTGCTGGAATGGAAAGTACATGATCTAGCAAAGTGCTAGGTTTAGACATAATGTAAATTCATTGTGGAAATGAAAGATACATGAATAGCAAAGATGCTGAATCGATGTGTTGTTTTGGGTTGAGCAGGCAGGGTTTGCAAACTAGCCTTGAGTACTCTATTTGTAGAGCTCTTCTATGCATGCGGCAGCTTGGTGTGGCAGCTTCAACAACTTCCACATAGTCAGATTCTGGACTGCCAAGTGTCCCATGTTCTCTTAGCAGTTGTAACTTCTTTTCTTCTATCTTCTTCTTACTCTTTATTTTCTCTAATGCACAATAGTCTTTCATGAACTTGTATCGTGGGTGGTTTTTGGAATGAATTTCCACTTCTCGTCTTAACAAATTGACACGCGTCCCACGTTTTATGTTCCTTTTCCGTCTCCCATGAATTCCTTCTCCAATTTAGACACGATTTAATCATCTTAAACCCATCATCCATAATCCACGACAACTGTTTTCAGTTAGTGGTAGTAGTTGCATGAGACACCACCACTTTCAACTGATGCAATCATAACAAATCAAGTGTCCCATATTCCTTGGTGGTCTTTCCTTCTGTAGAATCCTATTTCTATATAACTTTCATATATACATCATGCACATATATAGCAGTTACTTGTAGACCCACGTTCCCTTATTATTTGGATAACCTCTTCTAGTTGGATTTTCTTCCTTTCATGGCGTCGTGTCCTCCAAGATTACAACAGTTTTTTCTCATTGTGGATGTGTATCTATATATGAATATATATATATGCATGATGTAAATCATGGCCCATGTTCCTTTTCCTTTGCGATCCACACTTCATTGACTTTAGTAACTTCCCTTCTTGATTCTTAGACTCCATGACGCCATGAACCCCTTAATTTCAGCGTCCTTCTCATCATGGGTTGTCATCCTCAACTCCTGTAACTTCTATTCTTCAAACTTTCCTTCCTAATTTAGAGTTTATGGCGTCGTGGCTCCTAGACTTCAGCGGTTTTCTTATCGTGGGCTACATATAATACAAATATATATACATATATATATATATATATCTATAAATATGTGTCATCCCATGTTTCCTTGATTTTCTGCAACTTCCCTCAACCAAACCTTCCTCTCTAAATATCAGCGACTTCTTTTCATCGTGGGTTTAAATGATATAAATATATATATATATATATATGTGTTTTTATATATTTATAAAATAGATTAAACCCCATGCCTTGCTTAATTTTAGCAACGAAGTTTGACTAGGTTTAGACAACCCACTGAAGTTTTCCTAAAAAGATGGAGAAAATATAGCCCCTACGTTCTTGGTCAACTTTGCAAATTATGGTAACTCTTCAAGGATTTTGAAGATACGTGATTTGTCCACAAAATTCACCCATTAATTATTTAAAAATAATAATATCTTATGGTAAGTTCCATAAAACTCGCCATGTGTTGAGAGCCAATTGGTTGAATTTATCTTGAATAATGCATGAGATTGCATATATGGTAGTGTTTTCATATAATAATTCCTTCATTTCAAATAGGAATTTGTAGGCCATCACTTTAAAGATGGCAAGTCCTAATAGAACTCACCTCTTTTCTTTTAAGATAGAAAACTCTATATGGTAGGGTTGTACTGGCCCACTTGTCTTTGATTGTTACGTAAAATTAAATAGGTTTAATACTCCAAAAATAATTTATTAGAGTTACGATCCAGTGTAGTAAGTTCCATTGGAAATCACCACATGTCGCTTTCCCATTGGGCCAAAAATAATGGAGTAAACATATGCCTCCCAAATTCCATGCCTTGTGGAACAATTTGATGACAAGGTATGTGATTTGAATTTTGCCATTATAAAGGAGAAGAAAAAAGAAATTGAAGGAAAAGAAGTGGAAGTACTTGAAGAATGAGAGGATTTTTGTATAAAGCAAAGGGATAAGAAAAAGTTTCTCAGCTACTTTCAATATGGCTGAACTTAACTTGGAATTGTTAACATGGAAATGCATGTATATAGAAGCAAGATGAGTAATTTTCATTATGAATAAAACCTGGA